TCAAAGAGCAGAATGGTGTGTGCCAGGGGCTGGGGAAAGAAGTTATAGGAAGTTGCTACTCAACCGGCATAAAGTGTCAGCTAAGCCAGATGAATAGGCTCACAGATCTGTTGTACAACATTGGATCGATAGTCAACAATATCATATTGTACATGTGAAAATTTGTTAAAAGGCTAGGATCTCATATTAAGTGTTCCTACCACAATAAAATGAAAATAAAAAGATTTTTCTAAGTAAATAAGTAGGAAACCTATGAGGACGATACAAGCTTAAAAAGCTCTATTATCCCACAAGTAAAGTTTAATACTTAAAAAAAAGTCAAGAAAAATAAATAAATAAATAGATAGATAGAAGTCAAGAAAGCTGACTGGTTGTTGCGTCTGGGCGATTACTTCGAGGGGATTCATTTCCATACTCTCTCTAGTTTTGTGTAGGATTGAAATTTTCTTAAATACTTTTTAAAGTGGTGGGGGTCAGAGGAGAGGGGATGCAGCAGGGGGAGGGCAGCTTAGCTGGAAGAACAAGAGCTTGACTTTGAATCATCTCGGCAAAAGCAGCCAGGTCCAAGACTCACCAGGGATAAGCTGGTCAACAACCAGGATCCTGTGATGCCAGGTCGTGGGAAGAGGCTCGATTTCTTTCAGGCACAATGAGATCACAACATAACGGGAAAGGGCCAAATCTCATGTGGCACTATGGGCCTCTAGACACCCTCCTAAGCACTTTGTGTTTATGAGCTCATTTCATGATGACAACAACTATGAGGTAGACATTGCTATTTCCCCCATTCTACAGATGAGTAAACTGAGGCACAGGGTGGTGAAGAAATTTGACCAAGTGGCGCTGGGATTTAAGCCGAGCCCCCTAGTCTCGGAGGCTGTGCTGGATCTAACCACCATGCTGAGCGGCCACTCCCTTTCTGCCCAGAGCCGATCACAGCCCAGCAGAGTCAGATAAGGAGCAGAGAAACGCTGCTTAAAGCTACAGCATCATGGCAGCTTTGGAACAGGTTGAATCAGAAGTGCACTGATAAGTCCCTAACCATCGTGCTCGTCAGCAGGTGCGATCTGTCATTCTCAGGTTGTCTCCTCTGCCCCAAGGGTTTCCGGGAATGCAACTGGAAATTAGCATTTAAGTCTTTAAGAAAAATCGGCTTCTATTATGTAAGTTGAACGAGCCCTGTAAGTACAAACAGGCGTCAGTGGTCTTCTCTGTGAGCAGCAGTCCCTGGGACACGAGGGGGTCCCACTGGCAGCAGGGCACCGACCCATCGCCCACACCAGGCTGCTTCACTCACTCGCTGCCCGTGGCGGCCACGCCTGCCGTGAGAAACCCCACTCCACAGGACCCGGAGGGACTCCCCTCGCTGACTTAGCTTTGGCTAGCCACATGATACACCCCAGGATCGGGAGCAGAGGGACTCCCAGAGGCAAGGCATGTCCCTCAGAGATCCTCACATTCTTTCAGATCCATGAAGGCTGTATGCAACCTACAGGACAATTTCTCCATCGATCACTGGCTCAGACTCAGAAGCCAGAGGACAAAAGTTACCTTGACATCCAAGGTAATACTTCTCCCCCCTCGAGTACTACAATGTCAGCCTGCTTTACTACAAGTATTGTATCTTCTATCATGGGACATGATGATTCTACCATCACTGGAACGGAGTAGCCCCTACCTGGAAAATGAAGTTTCATTCGTAAAGAAAGACACAACTACACGAGCTTGCTATTCAAAGTGTGGGCTGAGCACCAGCAGTCTCCACACAGCCTGGGAAGTCGTTAGACATGCAGGGTCTTGGGCCTCGCCTGATCTACTAAATCGGAATTGGCATATTTACATGAAATCCATGTCATTCATATATACATTCAAGCCTGAGAAGCCTTGGTCTAGGGGTGACCAGAAAGATGACTGCATAGTTAGAGCTGATATTTATTTACTCAGCAAGCCCTGTTTGACGTACTTTATAGGCAATAACTCATTTAACCCTCCCTCGCAAGAAGTCTGAGCTAAGGACCATGGCTATCTCCATTTTGTATTATGATAAAATGACTCAGACTAAGACCTAGACTCAGACTCAGAGAGGCTAAGTAATTTACTCCAGGGCACACAGCTTCCAAGTGGTAGAACTGATAACACAAGGGTAAAGGTTGAGAACTTTGAGGGTGGAAGAGGCCGGTTTCCTGCCTTCACACACGTCAGCAGACAAAGAAGGCCAATTCGGAGTGTCTCTCGAAGACAGAGCAGGACTCAGGGCAGAGAGGGCCAATATTCTCTATCCTTCCAGGAGCTGAAGCTATCCAACAAAGGAAGAGGCCACTCAGAATAGTGAGCTACCTGTCACAGGAGGTATTCAAGCAGAAGCTGGGTGGCCTTCTGTACGGGATGTACTGGAGAGGGTTCCTACTTTAAGAAGGAGTCAGGCTTGATAGGTGGGACTTTCCTCTTTAATTCCAGAGTTCTGGGAAGACCAGGAAGTGAAAATGCCCCCCTTTACCACCAAGGGCTGGCTGGGGACAACAATGGCTCACGGAAGCCTAGGAATCCTCTCTGGCCTTAAGAGTCTGAACAGAAAATGGGGCCTATTTTTAACCCTCCGGCCCAAACACCTTCAACCTGGATCGCCGACAGTCCGCAGACAGCAAGCAGAGCTAACTGACCCCTGGCTGCGGACGGGTGGGAAGGCAGGCAGACACCCCTCCTCACTCCCTCTGAAGCAAGGAGACACCTCTGTGGCTCCGGGACCCAAGCTTTCGCAAACAGGAGAAACCCCTTGAAGAAGATCCTCATTCATTCATCCAATGGCCCACACCTTGACTAGGCAGACTCTACCCGCCGGCCTCTTCAAGTAACTGCAATTTCTACCCGGCTCACAGAACAGGGTGCAAATGGAAAACTCTGATGGGGACTTGTCTTCTAAAATGTCAGACCATGGGAGCACCTCGGTGGCTCAGTCTGTTAAGCGTCTGACTTTTGATTTCAGCTCAGGTCATGATCTCAGGATCCTGGGATCAAGCCCTGCATCAGGCTCCACGCTGGGCATGGAGCCTGCTTGAGAGTCTCCCTCTCCCTCTGCCCCCTCCCTACCAGCCCCCTGCGCCCCCCTTCCCGCTCACACGCTCTCTCTCTAAAATAAATAAAGAAATCTTTAAAAAAAAAGTCAGGCCACGGACATCATTCAGAGCGACCCAGCATGGCTGAGGGTCAGAGCCTGCCCACTAGAGTTGTAATCAAAGCCCCACGTATGAACTGACTGCTCTGTGCCCCCAATCCTCGTCTGGAACATGCAGATAAGAACAGTGCCCAGCGTACCTAGAACAGTACCAGGCACACGGTGAGCACATCTGATGAATAAACACAACCAGTAGACAGAAACATCCTCGCAATTCCAAAGAAGGGCGAGCTTTACCGGTGAGATTCACTAAGCAGCACAAAGATGCCACGAAATACTGAGCGTGGTGCGCTTGGCCTGTCCGTGGCACATGGAAGTCTCTCAGTAAATGGTCACGGACATCCCTGCCCATCCTGCTACTATCGTTCTTGTTACATTACCAGTTTCTAACTGGAGAGAAGAGGAGAAAATCAGCACCGACCACACTGTGCAGCCCAGGGAGGGCTGAGGCGCGGAGGGGGGCTGACAAGGGCAGCGTGGGGAGGTGGGGAAGGCCCTGCCTGGGTAAACGCCTGGCGGCTGGATCTTGGAGGCAGCGAGGCCTCCGGAGGGCCAGCTCCACAAGCCTTAGAAGTTAGGCCAGCTTTCAGTTCCCGGCATTCGGGCCCCAAGTCCCCCCGTCGGGCCTGCTGCCCAGGGCACTCAGATTCTTCCAGGGCCTGGGATGTGCTTCCAAAGTGGCCTCATCTCCAACTCAGACCCAGAATTCCTTGGCCAGCAGGGACCATGTCTCCACGAGGCTGACGGAGCCCAGCTGCCGGGATGCTTTCTGCTACACTCCCACAAAGGCCCCGTCTAGCTCCTGAGTGGACAAAACGGGAAGTGCCAGTGTCCCCAGGCCCTACGCTGGCGAGGGGCTATGGCCACCCCTCTTGGACCCTTGGTGCTTGAGCGGTGGCGGGTACTGCGTGGTGAAACTCTGAATCTAATGACAGGAACGAAATTCCATAACAGGCCAAGTTTTGAGGAAAAAGAAACAAAAGGGAACCCTCTCTTTCCTCCAGAGCGGCACATCCTGAATCTAAACAGCATCCTTGATGCTCCGGGGAGCCGGGGAAGGGAATGCCATGGCCTGGGCCCCCTTTTTCCTGGTGTCTGGGACTTGCTACCATCTACAGGTGACAGGCTGGACACTCGGGGCCATGGGTGATGCAGGACAGGTGCTGGGGTGTCACGAGGCCCTGCTGCCCCCAGTCAGGGGGAGATGGGCTCAGCGGGGGCCATCCTAGATGGAACAGACCCCTTGTTTATCCACGGAGGCCAAAGAAGAGAAACCAACCAGCCCCGGAAGCTCCCAGTTACCACGTACCTGTGACGTAGGGTCACTCATACGTTGGCTGATAATTATAATTGCTGATATTCACCATGGGCTTACTCTGTGCCAGACATTATACCACCCGCTTTACATTTCTCTTCTTTTGAAGCCCTTGCAATAGTCCTTCTATTATTATGCCCATTTTATAGATGGGAAAACTGAGTCACGGGCTGAATAATAACTGAATCACCCATTTGGAAAGTCGCAACCCGGGGGCCAATGGGCAGGAAACAGAGCCCTCAGCCCCATTGTATCAAGCCGATTGTATTAATGGCCCCGATTTGTCCACACTTCCCTGCACTCACGACCCTTTGGTGGTGACCTCCCACACGGACGCTGGGCTTAGCCATGTGACTTGCTTCGGCCAATGGAACTGTAGCCAACGTGAGGCAAGCGGAGACTTGACACGGCACCTGGGATTTCCACTTCCTCTCTTAGACATCCGCCGAGATGATGAGAGGCGCCTGGGCTTACTGGCTGCAGGGATGTGAAATGCACGTGGAGGAGACTCACCTTGTCCCAGCCGATTCTTTTCCAGACCAGGCAGCTGCCAGTCGACCTGCCAGCCATCCTCGGAAGCCTGCGCAAGCCCAGCCCAGAGCAGCCCAGCCTGGCCCAGGTCAGTAAAACTGCTCCGACCAAACCATACATGTGTGAACAATAACGAATGGTTAAGTCACTAAAGTCGAAGGGTGGCTTGTTACCCAGCAAGAGCTACCTGTATGTATTTCGTTATATGCACGTATATAGTTACAGTTCTATATAGTAGATATATATCTACCTGTACACATATAGTTACATGTTAAAAATATATATACATATAGATACTTAGATACTCTTATTGCCCATTCTCTTCTGACATAGGAAATAAACCTCCTGAGCTTAACAGGGTGACGAGTGATACTATTTTGAATGAGAAACCCATTAAATCAAGGGGTTTGCTTTAAATGAGGGATTCTCGAGGATTTTCTGTATTTGGAGGAGGCTTTGAATCCCAGAATTCTTGACAACACCCGGGAAGGGATGGAGCCGCATCTGCGGTCCTGACCCTGGTCCCTCCACCATACTGTGCACCACGTCCCTCAAGGGAGACCATTTGTTGCTCGGCCCTTCTCTCTTCGATACTTAGGCGGTGCTCCACCACGTGCCAGGGGGACACATCATCTTTCTTCCATGCCAGCTGACATCAAGCCACCCCTGTTTTGATCTTCTACTGCTGTGTAGCAAACCGCCTCCGAACTTAGTGGCTTCCAACTACCACCTTCTAACCCCTTGTGATGCTACGGATTGACTGGGCTCAGCCAGGCAGCTCTGCTGGTTGCCCCGAAATCTCCCACGTGGCTGCTGGAGGCTGGGGCTGCAGTCATCGAGAGCGGGTCTGGGCCGGAACACCCAAAACCGTTCGTTCACCCCAGATGTGATTCTGGGACAAACACCTCAAAGCAGCAGCCTGGGGACCCCAGGATCCCTGCTGGGTCATCCGAAGACCCCGAGGCCCCTTGCAGACTGAACGTGTGAAATGACTAGTGAGTGGCACTGCTCCTATTCCTGCACCTACACGGCGACGTCTGGCAGGTATGAGGCCACCATGCTCTTTGCAAAGACCTCAGTCTGGAAATGAGCACCTGCAAGATCCAGCTTCCCTTGGGCCCTGGGGACCCGGGACAAAAAAGAATCACATCTCGGCAAGCGCTCTAGGCAGAGGCCTATGGGACTGCTGTAGGAAGGGCAGCCCTGGGAGAGCCCTTAATTGTTTAACTAAAATCACATTTGAGGCATAATTAGCAGGTGGCTCCAAATTCATGATCTGAGGCCCATCGGTTCCAATGGACTAATTAGCTGAGACATCCTTGGGCGGGCAACGCACTCTGGCCTTCTCAGGAACATCCCAGGATGCTCAGCAGATCAAGGCTGACATCTGGTCCAGGAGCTGTCTTACTGGGGCCAGGCAAGGAGACAAAGGCGTTACTGGGCAAGAAATACACCTCACGGCACACACAGCTCAGGAAGATGGGCCAGGCAATCTCCCGATACATGATTCCTCCCTCCCCAGATCCCACTCGTCGAGCCCTTGTAGACTCACAGCGACTGAGAGGGGGTGCCAAATAGCCCAACATCATCCTGGATCAGAAAACAAGTCACCAGCTCTGTGGAAGCCCACAAAGTACCCAGAGCCACAAGCTGACCACAGAGAGAGAGCACTGGCTGTTCAGCCAGCTCGCTCAATCCAAGTCGCTTCTAAGCAAGTGGCAGGGGCCTCACACAGCAAGGAGGACTCGAAATCTCCGAGGGGAGCTGGCAGAAGACAGCTTTGCCGAAGCAGAGTTTGCATCTTGGGGAGGCCCTCAGTGCATCTAGCCTAAGAGCAGGTACACGCAGGGGATGCAGTACGCAGGCTGGGTGAGTGGGAGAGACAGCACTTAACAGTGTGAGAGCACTCAAACCCTACAGCTCTGCTTCCCAAAGGGCTCCCTGGTCAGAGAACATTGGGAAACTGGCCACCAAATCGAAAGAACACCGAGTTATGCTTAAAACCCCATTTTGAGATTCACAGTGTATCTTGGCACAATAAAGGCACTGAGAATTCCTGCAGTAAAGAAACATATTAATTTGGTTAGTAGATCTACTGTTTCCCAAACCCTATTTTAACATAGAATCTTTGACCCCCCAAAATTCCTAGTGGGATACTGTATTTGGGAAATACTGTCCTATAGGAAGCAATACATCAGTGTAGGGCAGATGTGACAAGCTCCAATCCTATTGGAGCTAGGTTATTTATATAAATGAAGTGGGCCACATTTAATATTCGCATAGGAAACATACAGAACCTTTCATCGTCACGGAGAAATATGCTCTCATTTTGCTTAAAGAACCATCTTGGTTCATCTCCGCCCCTCCCCCCATCTTTGATAGCAATTTTTTTTCTTTGCGAGAACTAGAAAAACTTATTAAAAAGAAACACATCTCGGGGCGCCTGGGTGGCTCAGTCAATTGGGCCTCCGATTCTTGGTTTCGGCTCAGGTCATGATCTCCTGAGTGGAGGGATCGAGGCCCGCGTGGGTCAGCGGGGAGTCTGCTTAAAAATTCTCTCACTCTGCCCCTCCCTCCACGCTCTCTCTCTGGCAAATAAATAAATAAATCTTTTTTAAAAAAAGAGAGAGAAGAAACATATCTCTATAAGAAAACATGTGCAAGAACAATGATGAAGGGCCGCAGAGAGAGAAACAGGATTGGCGGGCGCCACGGGGCTCTGGGAGGCGTCTACCGTGTCCAAAGGCCCAGCCACACTCAGCCCCAGCTGACTGCTGCCAGGCTACAAAGCTGATGCCCGTATTACCAGCTTTTCCAATTTTCAAAAAGGAGGCAGAAATCTGGACTTCTAAGTGAAATCCTCCGTTTTGAAGCATTGATCCTTTTTTTTTTTTTTGCAATTAAATCAGTCAAACAAAACAAGCCGGGGGTTAGATTCAGTCCACCCATTTGCAATCTCTGCCGAAAGGAAGGGAGTAAAACACACTAAGTAAAGTGCTGTCGGCTTTCCTGAATCTTCTCTGGCCAGGGAGCCCTCGGGAAGCCAAGCTGCGGGGTGTGGGCACTCTGGCTGTGTTGGGTGCTGTTACTTACATTCACCCAAGCCCGGGCACTGCCTTCCCTGTGTGTACGGGTGCCTGGGCCCGATGCGTCGAGGGCCTCCCAAAGATGCAGGCTTTGCCTTGGCGAAGGCTCCACCCCAAGCACTAGGCCCCGTCCCCTACTTGGGCTCGCCCTGGCACATGTGGGACGGGGTGAGCTATGAGCCAGCACATGATGAGAGGCCAAGGCCATCAAGAGAACCCGTCATGGTGTCGTAACACTCAGGTCTCTTTAAAAAAAAAAAAGGGATTTTTTAATGCAATATATATTAAGAAAAAAAAAAAAAAAA